AAAATATTTTGGAATAATCTGAATCAACTGAAATCTAGGGACAGACAGGGTAGGGGACAGATTTTGTCAGCCTAAGAGAAAAATAATAAAAAACTTCTTAAAACACTGCCAAATTCAGATCAAATTTGGGTGAATAAAAAATTTTAGGGCAAAGGAGTTTACCGGTTGTGCCACTGTTACAATGGTCTAAGTATATTATGTATACCTTATTACAGACTTGTTGACTGTTGGCTTAATGTAAAAGAAATCTTGCAAGATGTAGTGACTGAATGAAAAAAGATTTGTATAGTTAAGTTTCTAGTAGACAGAAATGAACTTCTGATTAGTTCTGACATTTTTATGATACTGATCACAGGGCTATTCTCCTGAATATTGGGTGATGTCAAAGGTATGTCATACTTGAGAAAATCAGGCCAAGTGTGGCTGAACAATTATATTATAAACATTCAAGTTTACATAGTTGGGGTCATGTCATACCTTCACATGGTTGTGAAATAGTGACTATAACCGTGCGCATGCTTAGCAGCAGGGGGTGAGCACCAGTCTCTGTGACCAAAAATGACCAGTGATTTCCTTTGAAAAAGCCACTAGTTCAAGGGCTAACAGTTCTGCCCCTCTGGTTTTACATGGTCATATTTCTAATTTAGTGTAGTTTTACTGGTAAACTCTGAGCTGAGTCAGCTCATCCCTCGGATTGGGGAGCAAATGTTTCAGATTGGAGGAAAGTAGAGATGGAGATGGGTTGATGCAGCTCACCTTCCATGATTGCTTCTGGCATCTGAGTGAAAAGTTACAGTGACCACATTTCAGATTTTATTTAGCTCTTGCAATTTGGGGAGGGCTGGAGAGAGATGGACTTTTTCTTGGTGTGCTTTATAAAGTGCTGTCAGTAAGGAGTGTTTGAGTTGAGTTCATCTGATTCAAGGCCACTCATGTTCTTTGTAACTTAAGCTTCAATCTAGAAATTCTTTGTCAGTCACTTCCCAATACGTAGTCAGTGCTTGAGTCAGTCATCAATACGCTGGACCTAGGTGAGAAAAACCTTTGATTCAGGTTGGCTGGGTTACTAACCATGGATGTAAGAGACCTGGTTTTGAATGTAAAATTCACAACATATAAACGCAAATTTTTAAAACTGTTTTTGCTCTGGTCAGTTACAGGTGGATCCTAATATTCTGTTTCAGGTTTCATAATGGAAATAGTAGAACTAGGAGGAATCAAATCTGGTATGTTCTTGCAGCATTAGAAGGGGAGGGGGTACAAGGGCACTATTTAACACTAAGCTCTTTTGATATGTAAGTTCTTATCATGTTTCAAGAACTAACAGTCTTAAATTGTGCATTCCAGTTATCTACACAATACTGAGTAGTTTTTAAAATGAGCTCTTGATTAATAAGACCTGTATTTTTGAGTGCCTATTATGTTCCAGGCTTGTCAAGAGATGAAGGCCCTGTTTTGGACTGTATAACTAAAATATATGTCATTTTATTTTCCCCAAGTAATCCAAGTTTTATTCTATATAAAACTACTAAGTGGCACTGGAAAATGTTTAATAGATTGGAGGGAAAAGCTAAAAATGTTGTACTCATTTGTTTTAAATTACATTTAGGATTGACTTATCCCTTTGGAGAAAAGTGAAATTTGTTTTTTTCCCCCTCTAAGTGATAAAAAGCTTGTGATTTTTTAAAAAGTAGGTAATACTTAAAACGGCATTATGATAATTCTGCACTTGAATTTATACTGTTAACAGCATATTTGGAAGATTTTTTTTTTTTTTTACTTTTTATCATTGTCTTACCTTTTAACTAGTCAATTATTATTATTTTGAATATTTAAGGGTTTCATTAAGTTAGCATTGTATTTGGACAACATGTAACCAAATTAGCCAGACTTTTTTCCTCCATGTTTAGTTATAAGTGAGAGGGTAGAGGTCATTCAAATTCAGCAGACTTGTAAGCAGTTGGCTTATATTAATAATTCCCTTTCTTGAATGATGTGATTCCTATGCACTCAGCTTTTTAATGACTTTATTTTTAAAGCACCTGCTCAGTCATTTGAGATGAAATGCTTGGAGTAGCTTGTCCCTATTTGAGTTCCTCAAACTTAATGTTTTTATTAGTTCATAGTGTTTGGAACAGTATGTGCCAATTGCTAGAACTGCTTCAGAGTTTGTAATTTTATATGTTTCTTTGCCAAAGAAGGCTTAGTGGTTGTTAACTATAATACAAGTTAGCTTCTGTAGCATAAGGTTTGATTTTCCTATACTTTTTCCACTTGTTTCATATCATTTGTAATTTGGGCTAAACTGGACTCATTTCAAGCATTTTGCCTTTGTTTAAGTATGTGTTGAGAAACATAATACTGTAATTTGACTTGAGCCATAAGACACATTTTAATATTAGCTTTAATATATTTATTAAGCTTGTTTTTGTGAAAAACTTACTAAAACCTAGATAAGTTTAGATTAAGCCAGTTTAGCTGTATTATATTTTAGTGATGGATTGTATTGTAAAAGAACAAAGATAAGTTGGGAAGATATATTGATTATGCTGTTCTGTTGAAGGAAAGGTCAATGTATTTAAAAACTTAAACTTTTGGTTATTGCATTCATTTCAGAGTGTACGAGCATCATTTATAGTTTGGCTGTGAGAACTTTTCTGGTATTAAGTTTATAGAAAATGTATAAAAGAAACTGGAGTTTTGGTTATATTTTTATATTTGTAAAGTACAAGTTTGATTAAAATGGTCACTGTCCTTTTTTAAATTTTATTTTATTGTCATTTCAATAAAAAATATTTAAAACAGAATGACTCTGTGATGGTTTTGTTAATAGCCCTGTGTGTGTGGCTGCTTACGTTAGTGTGCCAGGAGAAATCCTACCTGGTTCTTTTTCACTGTCAGTGGCCGAGGGCCGTTGGGTAAGAGTTTGGCATAATAGCAAGGGCCTGATGGCTTGGGCCCTGGATGTTGCTCTCCTTTTGTGCTCCCGTCGTGTGTCTGCTGTGTTCTTAGCAGATGCAGTTTCCTGCAGTGTGAAGGGGCACTGGATTGGAACGTGACTGGCAGCTAGGAGTTGCTACACAGTTGTGTTAACTGTGTGTTGTTCATATCATTGGGGGACTCAGTTTGCTCAACTGCAAAGAATGTGGATTCCTCTAGTGTTTTTTTCTCAAACTTGCCTGGAAGTTGTAATGTTCTGTGGCATACACCATGCTTGCTGCTTATGTAATACTGTGTAATTCAATTTCAGCATCTTAAATAGAAACGGTTTACCCAAAATACGGGAATATATGTGTGTTTAAAAAAACTGCAGCCTTTGGGCCTTTATGTCGGAACAAAAGTTTGAATAAAACCTGATATAGTTATTGCAAGGGTTTTCTGAACATTTTACTACTTGTGTATTTTGTAGCAGGCACTAAAGATATTAATGAAAGAAAAGTTAAAAATTGAAATAGATTAATATGTTAATTTAGTTTTCCTAGATTTAGCAGTGGAACACAGGGTCCAGCTAATGAAACACCGGAATTCCATGGAAGACATTTAAAGGCTACTGGATTAGATATGAAATTTAGCTTCTAGGATTTTGAGAATCTCAAGCAACAAAACCACCCAGCCTTTCTAACATGATGGCAAAAATCAAATGAGGTCATGAATATGAAAGGACTTAAGATATTTTAAAAAATGAAAATAGCATTGTATCTAGGTGTGGACCTTCATACAAACTGATTTGTCTGAAATGACACATTTCTTTATTTCCTTTAAATCAAATCAGAGCCACTCTCCCACAAAGATGGTAGGAAATTCAGACTGTCAGTCATTGTTGGAAGTGAAGGGCCTGATTAAAGTCTCAAATCTAGAAGGCATAGGTGGTACTCTGAAAAGAAGGTGTGGGTGGAGAGAGCGCTCGTTTTCATCATGGACTCCACTGATGCTTTCTTGTCCAAGCAGGACCAGCCTCTTAAAGTTTGATGGTGTTGCCTCCCTGACACACT